GATCTCACTCAGACTGCGATGACGCGATACAGCACCGTGTCACATTGTTCACCGATTCGGAAAAAATTGTTGCATCTGTCGCGCCCGTCGGTGACCTTCCGACGCTAACGTAATCAAATTGGTACGGTTACAATTAGCGTCATCGTGTGAATTAACTATCACGTGCAAATTGCGCGCGAAAATTTATTGAAGTATCCACCATCCCTCTTTCACGCAAATCACGCGTAACGTTTCTAATTTCGACCAAATAATTCTCTTCCCTACGATTTTAAGATTTGCCTAAATGATTTGTGGTCCAAAATGTAAATGTAGGTATTTTCGTGCCTGTATCTTATAATCGAGAAGAAAAAGTAGTCAGAAATCTTATGTAATAAATTTTTGAAATTAATTTTAAAGTTTGAAGATTTTTTTAAACGACAAAAGAGTAACAAGAAGCAAAGCGGAGTAGAAAACTCTTGATGCAAATTTTTTATGCTTTTTATAACATTAGAAATACAAGAAACCCGTGAAATTCTGTTAAACAATAGAAGACTTTCCCGCATATTGTTTTTGTAAAAAATAGTTCAGGAAAGAGAGAACGCGAGTGTTATCCTAAGAATATAAAATGAGACTAGGTCATTAAATAAGTTTCATAAAGGCTAATGAGGTTTTTCCAAGCCGATTTCTCCGTATCCCGATAAAAAAAAAACACTTTGTTAACCTACTACTCTGTTTACCCTGTTAGAAGCTTTTTTTCCACAAGAAAGGACAATATCAATTTTCCTCGACCGCGTCTTCCTCTTTTATCGACGCGTCCTTCGATACGGAGGGAGTGAACTTTTATTACAGCGACCTTATTCGGCAAACAGTATTATTTTAATCGACTCTCAACAGCGAAGCATTTTTTTTTGTCGCGATCAGCCACAAAGATGTTTTTGCAAGTTCAAAAGCTCTGCTAAAATCCTCGCTTATGCAATACGCACAAAATAGCGCGTCACACGCCAGAGTCTCTGGTGAAAGTACTAAATATTTAACGTACAGACTGATAAATTAAATAATTTACTGATAATTAAAACAATCATCATGTTTGCAGTTTTGATTCTCGAGTGATCAATGAAAATTAAAGTGAGTTACTGATAAAAAAAATTTATACATATATATTTTTTTTTAATATCGCAAAAAGATTATAATTCTCTCTCGTTTTTTCTCAATATCAGAATTTGCGAATCTGCTCTGTGATAGAGATTTGAATTGCAGAAATAATAGTAGCTATTAACTGTGCACTCTCTTCTATTGCATTGTCTTTTTAGGATGTATTCAAAATAGCGGGAACTCGTAATAGAAGGGCAGACGTGCGCCAGAGAGAACAGCGCGCGTACTCGTCACATATATATTTACATACACACATGCATTCTGCGCACTCGCGCAGAGATCAGTGGCTCTCAACCGCAACTTTCTGGTTTTACATTCAGAACAACGCAATTCCACAACGATCGTGATAGGTTATGTATCGTTTCGTTATATCTCGAAAGATTTGACAAAAATTTCATTAAATCGCTACAATATGTAATAATTGTAACTTTCACGCATACGTGACGATGTCGATTCAAGCGTGATAAATTTTTAAATATTTTTTTTATACCTGAGAAAAAAAGCTTTTAGGATTGAAGAAAAAAATAAAATTTCAGAAAACGATTACCTTAATTTTTTAAATTTAATTTCAGAGTTACTTTCGTAAGTATCTCAAGACATGCTTGAGACTTTTTTTTAGAAAGTCGCGCGCACTGAATGTGAAAGATGGCGCAGAATCTTCGAAAGATTCGTGAGAGAGAGAGAGAGAGAGGCAATTGGGAGAAATTTGACCTGACCTGTGTGCGGATTTGTATCTAAATGATTCGAGTGAGAACCGCTGATCTTGCGAGCCACACACAATGACCACCTGCGCGCGCGTACACGCAGTACACACGCGCAGTGGCATCGAGTGGATCAATAATTTTTGATACTCGCTTACACAGAACATTCAAAATACGCGCTCGCGTTGCATGCAAGACGTATAGACCGAACATGATGGTAGCGGCGGCGGGGTGACAATAACACGGGGAAGAAAAACGCACGGAAAAGCGCGTAGAAAAACTGCGTTTTACCCGGCGACTCGTAGAAACTGATCCTTACAAATGGAAAGCGGAGAGTTGCGCGCGCGCGCGCGCGCGCTCGACGGCAAATCGCATCGAATAGCGGCGCTTCACCACGCTTCGCGTTCCGATGCGCTAGAGACACTCGGAATTGCGAGCGGAGTCCAATCCGCCATTTTTAATCGATATAAGCCAGTCTCTCTCGGTCGAGAGTATACAGGTGCAAAGAACAGAGAACGCTACTTGACTATTCATGAATTTTTGCACGACATGGTCTCGTTTCGAGATTATTGTATTGCAAATTGTCAGGTTTGCTTTATAAAAATATACAACGATAAAATAACTTACAAATATGAACAACGTTGTAGACAATGTAGAAGATTTTACTTGGAATTATTTTATGAAATAAAACAATGTTGTGCGCAAACAACACGAAATAAAAAACATGTGCTTTTTATAGTTTTTATTATTTATAATACACGAATTGTTATTTTATATATATATATATATATATATAATTGTTATGTACATTAGACACTGCTAAAATATAGAAATATAATAAAAACAAAAATATTACGAAGCGGTTGACCATCGCTACTCGCAAAAATTTAATTGCTCGCATACTCTCTTTCTGGTATGCTGACTACACCGGAAGTCAGCGGTAACGCGTAAATATAGATGCGTGTGTGAATGCGGTTGAAATGATTTAAAAGAGAGAAAAAATCTGTAGAGAGATATTATCATTTACGTTGATTTACGATTGATTTATAAATTGTTTCCAAATGTAATATAGAGAAAAAGTCGAGGTCACTTGTTATTTCCAAATGCAAAGCTTAGTGTTGCATATTTAATATTATGTATGTGTTGTCAACGTGTTACATAACACGTTCTCTTTATTTAAAAAAAAAAACACAAAGAATTTTACGAACGTAATAGATTTGACGAAATGTGAGTCAGATATCGAAAAAAATGATCGAAAAAATCATAATGTGCGACAGACGCCCCGCTTCTTCTAAGCATTGTTCGTTCTCCGAGATCATGTTACGAGTCTCGCTCGTTTCATTTTGTGTCCGAATCCGCAACGTAGGTCGTAACGGATCCATCCGGATTAGGATTGCACACACACACACACACACTACACAACGGTAACGGCGTCGAAAATTTATTCTTGGATTTGGTTTTGCATTTAAGTCGAGACGTACGGAATTAATGCAAATTTGCACTACTGTTTACGGGTAAACAGTAATGTTAAATTCGAATAATAACAAACGCGCGACCTCGCACAAGATTTTGATGGCGTTCATCATAACGGATTGTATTAGTGTTCGTTATATATTGAGAATTCACTTATTGACGGCCAAAAGGGAGAGGATAAAGGACGGTGGTGTGAAAAAGAGACATAAGAGGAAGAGAGGGGAAACGTGGAAGCGCGGAGGCAAAATGGCGAAGAGAGAGAGAGAGAGAAAGAAAAGGAACGAGGGAAGAGAAGACGTGAGGGGAGAAGGGAGGAAAAGGACAGCGGTAAAGAAAAAGAAAAGAAGAAGGTGAGAGGGCAGAGTTGGGTGAACACATGGAAGGGATATGGGAGAGTATAAGAGAAAGATCAGGATCGGCAAAAGATACAAAAAACTGGATTTCATTCAATTTTTTGGGAAAATAGATTCAACATAACTTCGCGCAAAGCGTGAAGTAATTATAAATCTTAATTAGGAATACTAATGCTATATGAGGTCTGGTAGTTTCGTGACGCGCGCGCGCGCGCGCGCGCGTGTGCGTGTGTGCTGCTTTCGTTGCTTAGATATTTGTACATTATAGCGTCCATTCATAGATATAAGTATTTCACATTATTTAAACATGCTTGCGTAAGAGTATCGAATGACATTGAAATTTTTGGGAAAGAGTCATCGCCGGGTGATGTCAACATCGCGATTATCGAATATGTAGGTATCTTTTTTGAGATAATTGTAAGAGCAAAACAAAAAAAAACAAACGCTGTACGTTTTGTACGACGGGAAACGAAATTTTTACGATTTGTAAAATCGGTCGTCTCGAAAAAAGAACGGGATTTCGAAATCGGAGACGGTGGAAGGAAAAATTTTTGTTCGTCGTCCGATTAAAATCGCGCGGACGGTGACGTGGGCGAGAGTCCCGGGCGACGACGAGGAGAAGAGAAAAGTGCATACGAACGAACGGGGCAGCGCGACGGACGGCGCAGCACCGTTGTGAACGTCGCCGCTGCCGCCCCTGCCCGCGCCCGCCGCTAATCGCTCCGATCGCGCGCTGCATACGGCGGGGGGAGGATGGTCGCTCGCAGGAACAGCCGTTCGCTAGCCAAGCGAGCGGGCTACGCTTCGCTATTCCGTGCGTTCTAGCGAAATAGCGTCTCGTGCAGACTGATCTGTTCTTCGGGAGCCGAGTGTAAGTTTTTTGACCAGTTGTTGTTAACCCTCACGCTTTCCCTTACCTTTGAACGAATTCCCCCAACGTTATCCCCCCGTATTACGACAATCGTCAGGCCCAACTGTCGCGCTTTTCCCCGCACCGTGACCCTTTTTCTTCTCTCCCTTTGCCTTGTTTGTCCTTTATATACGCGCCGCCACCGCTACCTACGTAGTAGTATAACCTCGTGGAATTTACGTGGCTACGCCGATGCTGCCGACGTTCGCTCGTGAATGTCTCTCGCGGGTGGGGGAGGGGCTGGGGGAAATACACAAGATCCGACTACATCGACTGCTTCTTAATCGTCCCGAGTAACCCAATGTGTGTGACGCTCGGGTTCGAGGTATGCTTTTTTTCCGGCGGATATTCCTGTCTTTAGCTGTCTCTCTCTTTCTCCCTCTCTCTCTCTTCCCCTCTTTCTCTCTCTCTCTCTCTCTCTCTCTCTTACCAGCCTCTTCCGTTTTTCAATACAGGCATCTCGTTTCCCTCCTTCTCTCTCTCTCTCTCTATCTCTTTCTATCTCTTCTAGCTTTTCCTTTTCTGTCTCTATATCTCGATGCTGCTGCTCGCGCCACTGCGTACCTCGTGAACTCCGTTCTTCGAGAAGTGCGTCGCGTGCTGTTCGCGTAGTGTGACGTTTGCTGCTTCGTGCTCTCCTCGATCAGCAGAGGCGAAACGGAGGCGCCTCGAAGTGGTGGGCATTACCGAGGACGGTTCGAACGTAAATAATGTCGTTTTATCGAATGTTCGTGCGTCGTCGTGCGATGTTCCCCTCTGTCGCGTCTGTCGTCGTCGCCATCGGATCGATTTAAGCTGATCTTTACGCACGAAATTTCCGAAAGAAAACGGGAACGGTGAGCGAGTGATATTTTGGATACAATAGCGGAGTAGTATACGTACAGTAATTATGTCGTTTAGGTTAGGACTCCGATGTGGATGCAAATACTGTACTCTAAGAAGAGGGTCGAATTTGCGACCAGCTACAACTGGTGAAGAATTGTTTAAATTTAACCTTGATCAAATCTTTTGCACCCTTCTCTTTCTCGGTTTGCTACTTTAAAGTGCTCCGATCAATAGTAACGGAGTCATATAGAGAAAGAGAGAGGGAGAGAGAGAGAGAGAGAGAGAAGAGAGAAAGAGAGAGAGAAAGAGAAAGAGAAAGAGAAAAGTGCCTTGGAATATATTTGCGTTGGTTTTTAGAGTGTGTTGAGTTTTATATGTTTATTTATTTAAATATTGTAGTTATAAAACAATACACAGTTTTTACTATGCAATAATTTTTAATGCAAAACAACTTTGGAAAAAAATAACAAAGTTCTTAAATAAATCTATCAACAATTAAAATACTGAAAGCGATTTTGTGAATTCAGAATTGTAAACAAATGACTGAATTATAAGATTTTGATAATTTACTTGATATTTTAGCAAAAAACTTTCTTGTTTGTATAAAAAATATAAATAATGTTAAATTATTCGATATTGGGAAAGGTATGCCTTTTTAAAAGTTACGTGACACACATGACGACTTCTGTTTTGTAATAGTTTCACTGTCAAAAGTTTGCTTTAAAGTATGATAAGTAAGCAGATTAACTTGTTATGACATTATGTTATAATACAATTTGTTTGTATTTGTTTTAGATCTCCACTAACATGGAGTTAAGAGCGCACTGATAGTGTTAGTTTATGAGGTAATTTATAGCTTATATATTTTGAAACTATTTTTTATTATAAATTTTATATATTTATATGTATTTGAAGTACATAAAATTTATATAAATTTTTAATAAACTTTTAATATAGAGCGATCGTTACTTTTTTATTTTTTTTATTGAATTTATTTAAACTATAAAAACTGTTTATTAATTTATTAATTTAAACTATAAATACTGTTGTTAAACTATAAAAAATGTTTGTGCATGAGTAAAAAGCAAATATATATATATATACATCTATGTGATAAGATATTTACAACTACTTAAATAATTAGCTATAAAAATATATGTATATACATATATATATACATATATGTACATATATTTTACAGATCTTGGTTTCTATGCATTGCCTGCCAAAGAAGAACTGAGCCCAATGTTTCCACACAATTCTAGTTCACATGAGATTTTTACTGAAACAAATGCCTTCGTACAAAATTCCATGGTAAGCACTTTGATTAAAAAATATTAAAATTTAGAATTTATAGATATCAATATTTATATATGTATAGACATCAATATTTAGATGTTTAAAAAATCTTTTGTTGTTTTGAATTGTAGAAACTTGCATAAAAGTCTAAGTAAATTATTCATAATACTGATAGTAAAATTAATGCCATAAATGATTAGTCTTTTATAAATTTTTAAGTTTTTACTAGAAAAATAAAAAGAGAATATATTATATATAATCAAATTTTCCTCAAATCAACTTTTGAATTGAAAAGAAAAATGAAACATTAATTTACAATATGTTCATACAAGCATGTCAGTTGCCTGAGTTTACTTCTACAATTTGAATAAGTTCAAAATTGATCTCTGTGTAACTTAGAAGAATCTCTAAGTTAAAATTTGAGAAATAGTCGTTACAACTCGAGTTTTATTGTTTTTTAATTTAATGCACACACAAGTTTTAAAGGTTCTGTATATACATGTTTATTGATATCTCGCAACAACAGTTTATTGACTTCTTTTTGTAACAAATATTTAAACTTTTTTCAACAAATTCAAAATTCTTTTTTATACACAGTGGGATGTAGTAGTATTAGAAGAAAACAGTCTGGATGGGGTGGGAGAAGAGGAAGGATCCGAGCACACGAGGTACTGTGATATCGAATCGATAGCAAACAGCAGCACGATGGCAGCACCTATTAGCCATCCCCAAGCTACCGCCGCCAATGACTTTTCAACCGTCCTGCCGTACCACGCTGGTAAATAAAATAATAAGTTAATGATATTTATAGTATGCACGTTTCATTTTATTTGCCTTTGTAATAACTTTCTATATAAATACAGTAGTAATTTACGCACTTGTCAATAATTTCAGAAAGCTTACACTGACAACTATGAGAACAGCTAACTTCTTTAACTCGGTGACACCGAGTTGTAATTTACATACTTGTTTGATATTCTAATAAAATTATAAATTTTTTTTCCATTATAAATAATAATAAATTCACATACATTAAATAGGAGATTAGTTAGCAAAATATATTTGTGCATTAAAAAAAAAATCTAATTTAACAATCTAATAACTTCGACAGAGTAAAAGATATAGGATTTTACGTTTGAATTACAGGTGAGTTCAACTCAACTGGCATAGGTAAGGCCTGCCAGTCACTGGCGCCAGCAACCACAAAATACCCAACAAATCACCTTCTAATCTGCGATAATAATAATAATAATCACAACAATGCAGAACATAATCATCACAAGTACAGAAAGCAAAACACACCGGGCTTGCTTGGTATGCTGGGCAGCTCCGCCAATAACTCTAAGTCTACTCGTAAGACATTAAGTGATAATAAGACTAGTACATATTGCGTTAGGATATATGTTAATTCGCAACTTGTATGGGAAGCGTGCCGCACCGTTGGGGTACCTAGCCTAGTTAGGATACTCAAGTCTGATAGTCCCCTACGGTTCGTCCTCCCTAACTCTGATGACAATTACTCTTCAGTAGGGTCCTGCCTTGATTTAGGCGACAACAATACATGTAAGATTAATTTTAGTAATGTAAGTAATAACAACTCCAAGTCTGTGATATTGCTCAGCTCAACCAGTTACAGTAACCATTACCTCCTCTTTAGTGGTGGCTCTGACAAGATAGCTACTGTTATCCCGACACTTTGTCTTAAGAGAGACAATTCCACCACCACATCGAATAGAATGAAACTACTAGGTGATAAGTACGCCCTAGTTACCAGTTTTGCTCAGAGCTCCAGACTGCTTGCAAACGATATAATTCTGGACGATTCTGACATCCAAGTCGCGCTGAGAGATACGGTAGACGAGATAGAAGACACAAGACATCGGCAATTGCATTTTAACCATCAGACACTGGTGTCTATTATCTTCTATTCTCGGACTTTCGCAATGTACGCCGCCAGTTCTTCCATTACGCTTATCGTTTCCAGAAACGAAGTAATTGACCACACTTTGCGATCTTTCCTGAAAAATCTCACACGATATGTATATGTACAATCTTCTATTTCTCCACTATGTAATGTCACTGTGACCGAGCTGATGCAACACATATGTGTTCCACTATTAATACTATGTAAAAGTAAGAATTACGACATTGGTAATAATTATAATGAATATTATAGTAACAAGTACCGTAACGTTAGTATTGAAGAAGAAATTAATATTAATAATCATAATTCAGATGTTATTGGAAACATTGTTGACATCGCTGTGTGCTACAAGACTAGTGTAATGACTACTGATGTTAGGATCTTAGGGTCTCAAAAGGATGGTATTAGCTGTACCGAAGTAACAATATTTACTGTTGGTGCTCTTTTATTTCAGGATAACACTAAGCCTCTAAACACTTGTTTTAGGATTAGTAGATATAGGGGATTGATAGGTACCGATCGCGAATCTAATTCTACCATTAAGTCTGTATCTAGGTCTACGCTAAGCGATAAGTGTAGTTACGTTAAGTTTGAAATATCTCATGCCGCTCTACTTGACGAATCTGACAACAGAAAGCAAGTTAAGTTGACTGTCAACATTCCTATAACGACTACCTGCAAGCCTACGATGACGCTTACATGCCAATCAGCCACCGTCGCATCCCAAACAATTCTTGTACCTGTATCTCGGGCGGAATGTCGCACGAACGACAATGACATGCGATTGGAATATTTCGATATACTCCAAAATGACCAAATATGTATCCGTAATATGTTGCTAAGTCATACAAATGATCTTAATAAGAGTCACTCGCGTCGTTATGATGCGACTAAATTTAATGATGCGCAAATTTATGCTATTGACAAGCTCAAAGCTATTGCAACATCGAAAGAGAACGCTCAGTTGATCTGCAAACATGACCGAGATACTCTTAGACGCGACCGAAGTCGTAATGACAATTCTAACGATTACGAAGATGAAGCCACTACTTACAACGGCAACGAACATTTCACTGAAACGCCTACGTTGAAATCGTTGGCCTTGAAAATATCACGTGCATTACTTCCTTCCTTCCTCGAACCAACGGACGAAGCCGTTTACAAATTTAGAAAGTATCTTGAGAACATGAGATTGAGAAGACTGCTGCATCATGGAATCGCGAACTGCGAAATTATTAAAAACTATAAAACACGTTGGGGTATTCCAATAACAATGCGGCTAGTCGGAGGTGGTGAGAATTCATTGAACAGCGGAGGGGCTGCCAATTGGGGGACAACGCAAGCCACTACGCCAAATAACAACAACACAAATCAGAGTGGATGGGGTGGTACACCCGGAAATCCACCTGGCAGTTCTAATACATCGAACAATTGGGGCGGAAACACCGTCAATCGATCTGTTGCTGGGAATCCAAATCAAAATCAAAATCAAGGACCACCTGGAAACCAAAATAATCCGGGTAAGAGTACACAATATTTTTTAAATTAATGTACTCACGAAGTTTTGCAATGTAGGTAGATAATTTTACACAAAAAACTATTTTTATCTGTATTTTTCTTTGTTTCAATTCGTTAGGTAATGTGAGTAAAGTTAATAATCCCAATCAACAAACAAATCAACAATCTGGTCCTCCGACATCTCAATCAAACAACCCTACCCAGGGGAATCAGAATAATAACCAATGGTCTCAGGGAAAGTCTAATAATCCAGGCGGTCTCGGACAAAATCCGTCAGTGCAAAACAATAATAGTAGCAACGTCCAACAGCAGCAATCTTCGGGTTCAAATGCAAATAATAATCAGTCAAACAATCCTACTCAAGGGGCTGTGAGCATCGGCAATACTTCGGCGACTAATAATCCTTCTACGAAACAGCAACTCGAACAACTCAACACCATGAGAGAAGCTCTCTTCAGTCCTGATGGGTGGGGATGTGTAAGTAAAATTATAACAAATCTAAAACGATAAAATTGTGTTAATGTGTGACTTAACATTCGTGTATAAATATTTGTGTGCAGCAAAATGTAAATCAAGATACAAATTGGGACGTGCCTACTTCGCCTGAACCGAATATGACGAAAGAAGGCGTACCAATTTGGAAACCACCGGTGAACAATGGCACCGATTTATGGGAAGCAAATCTTCGTAACGGGGGACAACCGCCGCCGCAACAACAGACTAAAACACCGTGGGGCCATACTCCGGCTACCAACATAGGCGGCACTTGGGGCGAGGATGACGAAACTGCGGATTCATCAAATATGTGGACCGGTGCACCGACACCGTCACAGCCAAGTGCTGCTCAGTGGACTGGTGCTGCCGGTAATCAAGCCGGTATGTGGGGAGGTAGGGCTGGTGAAGGCTGGAGATGCCAGATCTATATAGGCAAAATTTTCTAAATTTCTTGAGTTTTTTTTAAATAAAAAAGATATTCTTTGATTGTTCTAGCATTATAGTTGGTTGTCATGCCTGTTAGCACACCGCTAACATTTTATCTTTTATGTGACTGTGTTCAGAAATCCAGATTTTATTCAGTTGCCAGTAACGCATTAGTATTAGTAGATAATAGACAGAAAAAAGAATCTTATTCTACACTACATAAGTTTTCTAATTCTTATATTCTATATTCTAGTTTGTCAGTTTTTTTATTCCGAGTAGCACAAGAGAGTTAATATATATCTGAGAATAAATTATTCAATTTGGCGATAAGTTTTCTACATTTTTTTGCTTTTATTTATTTTCTACATACACAGAACTATAAAGATTAAATATTATAAAAAATAGTATATTTAAAATAGATATTTCTTTGTGTTATTTTTTTGCTATAAAAATTCTTTTAGATACAGTAATTTAACTCTAGAATGACGAGTCGATTGTCCCACAGTCTATATAAATATCTAAACTGAATCTGTGTGTGCCGAATGAATATGATACACATTCTTTTTTTTTTAAGAACAAACTGTTTTAGAATAAATAAAAAAAAAGACTTATACTTATTGCATGTTGTTAAGTGCTATTTAATTAATTTTGGGCTACTCTGAACAAAGTCTCATGTTCTTAGCTTTACAAACAAATAATTGGTCACGCAAGGTGTATTTCAGAACTTACACTTGTATCTACGCAGTTGAACATACCTGCAAGACAATAAATTTATTATTTTTTCGACACATTCAGCTGCGGCTTATCTTTAGCATAAAATCCACATGGTCAATGTGTATTACTATTATGCCTGTTAGAATTGAATACTTATAAAACTCCGGCGTTCACAAAGCTTTAAGATGAAAAGAAACTGGGAATACAATTCAAAGCGATTTTCCACTTGATTTTGCATATGTGCCTTGCAAGCGTATTGTATATCACTATTGTTTGAAAAAAATTTGTTTACGTGAAAGTGCGCTTTTTATGTGGAAATGCTATATTATAGATGCTTTTCCCCAAACGCGCTTGATTATAGAGAATTGATATTATATAAATTTTTCTGCGAGATTTATCTTTGTCTACATTATTTTTTACTTTGTTTTGGTTTCTATATATCTTGCATAATTGTATACCTATTGAAGTTTTTTATAAATGTATTTTTTTCTAATGTGATTTTATATATAATTAATAGTTGCAAGCATTAAGAGAATCGAGAATACAACGAAAATCTACTTAATTGATTAGTTATGTAATAAAAAATAGTGTTTCTTGTATTATTGAATATTAATATAACATTGATGATTTTGTTACTGGCTGCGATGCAAAATCAAACCAAATCGATTTATAAGTAATTATCATGTTTATCTATAGGATTATCTTTTCACATATTCTCTAGCTATTTGCTACGTTTTGTTTCTTAAACATAACGATATTTTATAGCAGCTTGATGATTAAAATAAGATATTGATGAGACTTATAAATCGATTCGATTATCGCGCAAGAAACAAGTACGATTTGTAAGAAGTGCCGATTGCAACAGGGTCCAATTGGGGAGATCCCAGGATTGATCACAGAGACCCTCGAGATTTGCGATCTGTAGATCCACGCGAGATGCGTGATCCTAGAGATCACCGTATGTCTCTGGATCCCCGTGATCATATGCGTGTTATGGATCCGATGGCGCGAGATCCGCGAATGACAGATATGCGCGGTGATCCACGCGGTATATCGGGTCGCTTACACGGCGCGAATGCTGACGCAATGTGGAGTCAGCCGCCCGGTCCACCGCATCATCAAATGGGTCATCAGCATCCGTCCGGACCACCGGCTAAAATGCTTAATCCTTCTAATATGAATCAATGGGCGGCACCACCGCCTAAAGACATTATGCCTGGCAAACCATCCGGATGGGAAGAACCTTCACCACCGACGCAACGACGCAACGTGCCTAACTACGACGACGGCACTAGCTTATGGGGAAATCCGGCGGCTAATCAGCGAGCTATGCCGGGCAGCAAAGTGTCGCATTGGAAAGACTTGCCTACACAGAATTTGGCTCGTGGAGGTAGGCATTGTCAAAACATGTTTCGTTATTGTTTAATACTAATTAATTAGTTAACGGAATTAAATTATTAAAAGGAACAAATTAATAACAGGAAATTTATTTCTTAACTTTTATCCTGAAGGTTTACTTAATAGTGTTGATCTGTTTGTTGCATTTATTAGGCATGCAATGTCCACCAAGCATGCCTCCAAACAGAATGCCGGCACAACCTGGAATGAAGCCGGATGTGAGTAATCCTATGTGGGGTCACCCTGGTGCACCTACTGCTCGCAATGGAACCTGGACGGATGGTCCACATGAAACCACATCTTGGGACGATCCTAAAACGCCGGCAACATGGAATGAACCGCAATTGAATCCCGCTGCCTGGGGAGGTCCAACCACGCACAAACCAAAACCAATGGGACCTGGCGGCAGTTGGGGCGATTCTGATATGGATCCGACTCCTAGTTGGGCGCATCCTGCAAAACCTACACTTACGAAAGAAGTTATTTGGAACAGCCGCGAATTCCGATATCTCTGCGATTTAGGATTTAAGGTATGAAAAATCATCGATCTGTTTTTGATTTTGTATTGATATATACCGCTGAGGTACTAAATCATTAAGAAACAAATTCTTGCAAAATATGGCATGCAATATATAATTTATAAAGAGAATGTGTCTGTATTCTGTCGGTTTAGAAAGAGGACGTAGAATTGGCCTTAAGGAATCGCGAGATGAATCGAGAAGAAGCACTGGAACTGCTCAATCAAATACGTCCTCTCGATCAGTGGAGACGTCACGAAACACACTCAGGTTACGACCCAACTCATCAAGCAACCACTGCACCTGCTTATCCGCGATTCAATCATGTGGCACAACAGATGTCATTCAGTCAAGTAAGCTTGGTTTAATGCAGTTAACACGTTCTTCTCTGTTTGCCAAAGAAAAGTTTTTGCGATCTTGCGAACAATATTTTAAGATGTGCAGTTTTTCATGAGTTTCTCAAGAATAATCTTTATTAATCTCTTTGTTATATAATTTCTTCTTTATTAATCTCTATTAACAGTGTGTATAATATCAGAAAGTGTTACGATAAAAAAAAAAAAATAAAAAAAATGAAGTAGAAACCGCTACATATTACAGATGCGGTAGAAACTCTTAGTAACAATTTTCTGTGTGTATGAAAATAATTTTTTTCACGACATTTATATATTAGCAAATTCTTGCATACTTACTTTCGTACACCTATAAATCTATATTATAAATGTATAAAAACATACATAACTTATATATACTGCAAATATCAAAAAGAGAACTAATTTATATGGAAAATTTAAAAATACTCGAATACATTTTCTTAAAATGTAATTATGATTAACGACTAAAAGAAGAAAGTCTTTTATTCGATTAGAAATCATAATTGTAATGTGATGCATCGATACAAGAGAGAAAGAAAAAAAGAGATGAGGTAGGAAGAAGGGGGTATAATTTGTATTTAATACAGGGAGGAGGAGTGCCCAGTGCGGCAACCAGTGGGGGCGTAGGTGGTTCTGTGAGCAGTGCTAGTCTTCTCAAACTACAGCAGCAGCAACAGCAGCAGACAGCTGTTCCGCTACAGCAACAACAACTAAGTACTAATGCGCCACAACCCCCCTTTAATCAGGTGAACAATTCAGCTTGATCGTCTCGACTTGTAACTTACTTGTGAGAAAAAATGAGGGAACTGCCTGATTTTGTATCCTATCTTTTTTATTTTTATATTTTTATAGAAGAAAAAAGTTTATTACAACAACAAATGATGTTCTTTAAATCGATAGGAAATTTGCAAAGAAATAGCTAAAGTGCAAAATCTTAGTCGTTAGTGAATGTATCTCTTATAGTATCACTTTGTATAGAGAAAAATTCTTATACAAAAATTTTCAAAAACAAAAAATAGCAGAGAAAAATGAATAGTTCTGTTTTCGGTGCTAAAATGCACGCAATAATGCTATATATACTTAGTTCGTGCATGCATAATCAATATGATTTTTGAATGCATGAAGTTGTATGTGTGTGAGCGTATTAATAATGCATTACTAATCATTGCCAATGCATTGGTTGCTGTATAATGTTAACAAAAAATAAGTAAGATTTATTATTGAAACAAAATTAGGCGGTTATCCTAATATCCATCGATATAAATAGCATCTATAATATAATTGACATTAATTGAATTGTTTTTGATGTTTTGAATTAATTGTTTGTAATTTTTTGTAATTATTGTTTTCAGACATCTCGTACGTCACAAAATCAGCCAAGTACGCAACAATTGCGTATGCTTGTACAGCAGATACAATTGGCTGTTCATGAAGGTTACTTAAATCACCAAATTTTGAATCAACCGCTAGCTCCACAAACTCTGATGTTGTTGAACCAGTTATTGCAACAGATCAAAGTTTTGCAACAATTGCATCAGCAACATACTGCTCAGAACTCGATGAAGGGTAGCAATCAGTCAACCTTGCAGCTTAGCGTACAGATAACGAAAACAAAACAACAGATCACGAACTTGCAAAATCAAATTGCGGTGCAACAAGCGACATATATGAAGCAACAACAACAGCATCCAGCACCACCGTCACAGACGTCAGAATACTACAAATCGTCTGTACACGATCCTATGTCAGCTCTACAGAACAGTTTCAGCGATTTAACGATGAACAAAGAACCACCAGTAGTACGTGTTTACAAATAAATATAAATATAAAATCTCGTGACGCAACTATGTAATTTATGTTTATATGTTATGTTTCTAATAGAGTCAACAACAGTCGAGATTGACTCAATGGAAATTGCCGTCGATCGACAAAGACGGCGACTTGGTATCTAACGAATTTTCTCGTGCACCTGGAACTACGAGCAAACCTCCCACAACACCTGGTGGTCTGTCTCAGTCGCATAGCAGCCCAAACATTAATCCATTGCTAGGCCAAAGCGATGGCACATGGTCTTCTCGTCTTGGCGACAGCGGCTGGCCTGATCCGAGTAACAGCGACTCAACCGATGGAAAGGATTGGCAACCAGGTGGTGCTGCGTATACAGATCTTGTGCCAGAATTTGAACCAGGAAAACCATGGAAGGTAATCCATTTCCAATACCGTCAATCGTGATTGTGCGCACTTTACACGATTATTATATATAAATATATATGTAAATATATACATATATATATAAGTCTAAAAAAGAGCCAAAATATTTAAAGCATATTAACGTATTAGTGTAACTAACGCTTATCCGGGTCCACCTATATTTCATGTCATTTTAGGGTACTCAGATAAAAAGTATCGAGGATGATCCTAGCATCACTCCCGGTTCTGTTGTACGTTCCCCGTTGTCTCTGGCGACTATCAAGGATCCCGATACTATCTTCTCATCGAGCAGCAAAACGTCTCCACCACCGCAAACAGCTAATCCCGATACATCGATTCCTAGTTTAAGTAACTCGACGTGGACATTTAATCCACCGGTTACTACACCTAGTGCGTTTACAAGGTGATGATTTATATAAAACGTGTCACGCTATAGCTTTTTTTTTAGCACATAGAGAACTTGTACAAAATTGAAGACTTAATTTATCACAGCACTTCCAAGAATACGTGGGGAGAGTCCGCTCCGCCACCAACTGCCGTGACCTCAGAACTGTGGGGTGCACCGATAAATAAAGCGCGCGGTCCACCCCCCGGCTTGAGTACTAAAGGAGCTACTAATACAAGCAATGGCTGGGGAGCCGGCTTAGGAAGTGTCAGTAGATCCTCTAGCTCATGGGGTCTCCAGTCGTCCACAGTCAGCAACTCCGCTTGGACGTCCACTTGGCTTTTACTGAAGAATCTTACTCCACAAATCGATGGCTCTACTTTAAAGACTCTATGTATGCAGCATGGACCCGTTCAGGACTTCCGTCTCTATCAGAATCACGGAATCGCATTGACGAAATATTCCTCTCGTGACGAAGCAATGAAGGTGAATACGATATTCTAAAAATTTACAAAACTTTTGAATCGTCTTATTTTATTTCACATAAATTATCGAAATTTTGGTTTCTTTTTTTTTTTCCAGGCACAAGGAGCCTTAAACAATTGCGTCCTGGGTAACACAACGATATTTGCCGAATCGCCTGCGGACAGCGAAGTTCACGCAATTCTGCAGCAACTTGGCCACGGCGGACAGCAGCAGGCCGGCGGTTCCGGCGGGGCTGGTTGGGGCCTTAGACCAACTAACAAAGCTGGCCCGCCGACCGACACATGGGGTGCCAGCTCTAGTCAGCTTTGGGGTGCTCCGCCTACCAGTAATTCTCTGTGGAGTAACGCAGGTATAGACAACAGCGACCAGCAACGAGCAACTCCTAGTTCTCTCAACTCGTACTTACCCGGAGATCTTCTGGGAGGTGAGTCCATGTAAAGAGAGACCATCCGCCCGAAATCTCATCAGATAAGTGAAAAACTTATTGTAACACACAGTCCAAAGATGCAGCTCGACAAATTTCGTGATGAGAGTAAAGGATTAGTCCTTTTCCAATCCTCTCCTTTTCTCCTCAATGACTTCACGACTTATTGATCGATGTCTCTGGACAAGGCGAGTAATTCTCGTCGAAAAGAGGAAAAGGGAGAGGAAGGGAGAATTGAATGAATGAAGGTTGCGAAAGAGAGAGAGAGAAAGAGAGGGAGAGAGAGAGAAGAAGACAATGAGATGGACAAGGTCTTCACGAAACGTCAATTATAATATTGCTAAGAAATGCAATTACTATAACGAGTTACTTAAAAAAAAAAAAAAAAAAAAAAGAAAAAAAAATTACTACCTTATATCCGCCTTTAATAGAACATGCGTAAGCAAACAATCGCAGCGGCGTACAGCCAAATTGTGCGGTAGATATCTAATTTTACATGACAAACTCATATATATACACACGTACACATGCACACGCTCGTACTAACAAAATAAAAGAAACATTCGAAAGAAAAAAAAAAAAAAAAGAAAAGTACTTTCAAGTATGTGAACGCGGTCGCGTCATTATTCCGATAAGACTTGCGGTGTATGAGAGATCAAGCTACACAGAGACCAATTACAACGGTCTCTTCGTCGACATATTGGTGCGTGTACTACATTACACAATCTGCCACGATATGTAAACGACGAAAAAAACATTGGCGTTCTCGTCGTTCCAAGCCAATCTAGTAGAAGCATGTAATTTCTAATCTAAAAGATGATGCAGAGACGCGCAGAAGAATGAAAAAAAAAAAACAAGAACTTATTCGCTCTCTGCAGGTTTATCATAATGGGGAGAGCGTTTTTTTCAATGAAGATTTATCGGCCGAGGGTCTCTGATCAGGTCCAAGAGTGTTCCATTTTTGCTGGACAGTTCTGAAGACTGCAGCGAGTATCAAATGTAGACTGTATCAATCTAATCAAAAGAAAGAAACCTTATAAAAAGAAATACGCATTCGACGTCGCTGCCTAGTGTTCTGCCCCCCGCCCCCATCGCACTCTTCGAAGAAAACCCCCTGATCCCACGAACACGGAAGAAACGAAGAATGCAGGGATTATCAGATCAACTGGGCAACGACGCAACGATACCAAATGTTATCGCAATAACGTAAATTTTATTCTATATTAAATCTAGATGCCACCTGTCGTGCCAATGTCCAGTGTGTCTCTTTACCAGTTATTAACGTAGAGTTTAAAATAAAGAAAACAAGCAAGGTAAACGAAAGGAAGAGACAGAAATGATGAAACGGCGAGATGATATTTAGGAACCAAGTATGTACTTGAGGAAGACCGAGAGATTAAAGAAGTGCTTAACGAATTGAAGCTAAACAAAATAAAAAAAAAAAAAAAAAGCGACTGAAAAAAATCAGGTTTACAGTAAAGTAAACATTTGAAGAAGAGAGTAACGAACACTACGTATCGTATATTGGTACGTGGCAATATTACGCTTCTCGTTGGCGATCCTCGAGTTTTCGAAGAAATCGCAAATGATCCGCGTAAGATCGCAAGACGGTAGTAACAGCGATGTTACGAATGGATGGCATTTATTACGGGCGCATATAAACTGTCGAGCAAAGCTCGGTGTAGGGCGAATTTAAAATTAGTTTTTCTCTTCAACGTCAAAGGTACCTGAACCTGAACGGACTGTCAAAACGACGAACAAGCGAACGTTATTTAAAAAACAAAACAAAAAAAAACAAAAAAAAAACAAAAAAAAAAGACACTCATGCACAACAATTTCCTTTTACTTTCCGTTTTCTCCGTGTCAAGTGGAGAGTTTCGGAAGACGTTTCGCGTTTCGATTTACTGGCGCAATCGCGAACGACGATGGAAGAGAGACGGCTTTTTTTCCTTCGCGAACTGAGACAGTTAGAAAAGAGAGACAGCAAGAGAAATATATAAATATATATATTACGTATATGAAAAAAAAACCGGAAGGCAGAAAAGGAACAATCACATCAGATGATGTTTTAGTGAGACACGCGCGCAATAAAAGTGAACAACTTACAATACACACATACACACATACATGCTGATCCTATAACGTTTGCGGCGCCATGCATGAAATTGTAAATCTGCATGCTTGCAAATGTCAATCACGCCAAGCTAAGGAAACGTACATTAGTAGCATTGGTCGACAATGATTCCGCCGCTTCCACACGATCGGTCGATTCTCGCGGATATGCCGGACCATTTGTAAAAAAAAAAAAACCTTTTGACGTAAAAAATCAAAAGAAGCATTGAAAATTTTTTTATGTCGTTTGCCTTCCAAGAGAGAGACACACACATCATCAAAAAAAGAGCAATGTTTCTCGTATACTAATAATGTAATATATAAAAATAACCGGTGTGCATCGGCTTAACGTAGACGCGCGATTACAAAAAAAAAAAACAAAAAAAAATCCGCGCGGTTCCGCCGATCACGTCGCCTCGACTCTGTCGACCAGTGTACTAAAAAACATTAATGTCTAATTTTAATATTTTCGTAAGACCGTGGATTCGATTTAAGATATTCATAATGATTGTCTAGCATAGAGATAGAGTTCGAGGAGAAAAGCGGTAAAGAAAGCACGACGATACGATAGACGATACGATTGACGACCATATGAGCCCCCAGTTAATAATATAAACAAAAGCAAAAAACAAAAAAAACGAAAAAAAAAAAAGAAAACGGAAGCGCTGCTTATTAAGAGAGTTGTTCTGTACATAATAGTATCGTATTCCTGAGAAAAGGTTCCCGCATGCAAGTCGAAAAGATAATTTGTTTTAACATCGCGCTGAGTAAAGTCATGTGGTTGATTGATTGATGCCGCTCCTTTTTTTTTTCGAAAAGTTTATATTAGAAGGCTAATTGGACAAAGAATATGTTTAAAAAAAGAAACACTGAAAAAGTTGTATTTTAAAGAATTTAACTATAATAATTTGGTTTTCCCAAAGAATCCTATTTTTTTTTCTTTTTTTTTCTTTTTTTTTTCTTTTTTTTTTTTTCAAATTTTTTCACATACTTGATTAGTCTAAGCTCTCCTATATGTATATACATATATATATATATTTTTTATTTTATGAAAACCGCATTGTATACAGATATTGTCCGTAAATGAATTTTGTGAGACAAATCTCTTTTAACGGAGATGCGCATAATTTAAATATGCAGTACAATAAATTTAAATTGCGCTTCTCGAGTTGCATGATGATAGGTTGCTTCTGGGAATGCGGTATATAAATACGCATAAATATCTCATATATTACTATATTCTATATACATACACAAGAAACAGCATGCTATATATATACATTTATGCAATGTGTATATGTATGGCGATTAACTCTATCCCCTACATTTTACTTAAAAAAAAAAAACAAAAAAAAACAAAAAAAAAACAAGTTGTAGCACCGTGCGAAAGAGAGAGTGAGAAAACACACACGCAAGAAAAAAACTGGTATAATATATAAATATTAATACAATAGATATATATATATAAAACATAATTATATCATATAAACTTATGCTAAGCACTTTATGCTATATGGATTTACGATTATGAGATATTGATGCTAACATTTGAACGTCGAATTAATTTTGTGGTAACTTCTAACGAAATCCTAGGAGAATAATAACTTTCAGGTTACATAAACTAGACAAAGTAAAGATTTCATAGACTTTAAGGTAGGATATAAGCATCTAAAACTCAATTGTATTCATGCACGATGAAGCAGAGAGATTGAAAGAGAGAGAAAGAAAGAGAGAGAGAAAGAGAAGAAAGCATGAGAGAGAGAAAGAGAGAGAGACGGTGAGGCAAAAGTGAGAGATAGTGCCAGTGAGAAAAAGGTTATTTTGTAAGGATCTAAATTATAGGGAAAGTAATAATTGCCTGCTTTCCTTAAATAGAGCCAGATGAAAGTAGTGTGTAAATGTAAGCTCATCAGTTTGCTGTTGTTTCCCAACAGTTCTTCTAGGCGTGTAATTTTTTTTTTTTTGTTTTCTTTGTCCAATACTTGAATGATTTTTTTGTTTGCTCCGTGAACATTTTAAGTGCGTTCCTTGAATTAATGATCTGATAACGCAATATACAAAAAAATTTTACTTTTTTGGCATACAAAAACAAGTGTTTAGACGAATGGGAAAAAGAAAGAAAGAGAGAGAGAGAAAGAGAAAGAGAGTGAGAGAGAGAGAGAGAGAGAGATGGAACGAAGAGAAGGCTACATCTCTGTATTTATCTCTGTATTTATCTCTGTACGAGGATTGTTCATTTCAAAGAATCAAACGCGGAATCGTTTTTAATACGTTCTATAATAGATATGAATTTAACGTTACAATGCGGTTGTTGTGATAACAGTGTTGATGACAGACAATTGAACCATATTTAGATATTTAAGGCTCTTACTATTTGAATAATCTTGTCCCCTCAAATAATCCAGTAATTATATCGATGTGGTGTAATGATTGTGGTTTGATAAATTTCAATTGCGTATATAAGTCTTAATGATAAAATAATAATAATAATATATTAATAGTAATAATAATAGTAATAATAATAGTATAATAATAATAATAATAGTAATTACAATGATAATAACTATCATTGTGTGTATCGACACTTAGGGAGTAAAAAAAAAAAGAAAAAAAAATATTAGCTGAACCGGGGGATCTGCGACAAGTTTTGCAGAGCTCTACCGATTAAATCTCTAATTAAATGTCACTATTTCGTATGTATGTAGAGATGTACAAAAGTTCCCGCGCAAAAGGCTTAAAACTGTGCGTATCTGTAAAAAAAAAACAAAACAAAAAAAACGAAAAAAAAAAAAACGAAGGAAAGAAAGAAACGTGCGTGCATGATGCCTCTGTGTGCGTATATATGACACATATAATCAACGATAATAATTGGATCGATCGTGTGAATATATATCGCGTATACCTTTCGCGTATTACACACAGTGTGTACTACAATTTTCTCCCCTTAAAAAAAAAAAAAAGCAGTCAATCATCCGTATACTGTGAATTCCCCGGGACCAAACAATATCCGTATGTGAACTCTTCCTTCAGGTCTCTCTTCGGAAAAAAAAAAAAAAAAAAATGTCAGTTCGATCGTGTGCACACAAGTGTGGTTTTATTCTCTCTATATGTACCGCTAATGACTCATGATATATATATATGTACATACTATCTCTCACGCTACAAGTAACGGATTAGATGAAATTGTGAAAGAAATTTATTTTACACACGGGCATTCAAGCTGGTTCATAATACGGATAAGTTCGCAATATGGGAGTTTACAATAGAGACACTCTACGCGACTGCAAAAATATATAAGACGTATAAGAAAGTAACAAGAGAATAATGCTTAAAAAAAAAAAAAAAAAAACCCTGACCGCGTTTTTTCAAAATACGACTCTGTTTCCGAACAGAGCCGTTATTGAAAAACGACGTCGTTTGTTGTTACTTAATTATAATTGCTACACACGCGTTATATAACGATAAGTTTAACTTTAGTCCTTCTGACTCCCCTACCTTTTACTATTATACGTTTCACACGCTAAAATTTAATAAATATCTATACATAACATACACACCGATTGACACTGAATCGTTCTGTAAGAGAGAGATAAGAAAAGTTCCGCTTTTGCGCATCGTTTTCTTTCCAACCGCTGTTTCACCGCTGTCAAAGTTAAGTGCAGCGGAGTAAGACACACAGCGCGTAAATAGAGGAACGTTGGTCTTCTCTCACGCGATTTGGTGCGATCGGTGCGATAGATACACGTACAAAACTCGCGTGATGATAAATATGTAAACTCTATTAAAAAAAAAAAAAAAAGATAAAAAAACGGACTGATTAGAGCGGATGTAAGATAATAACTAAATTCGTCGATATACACACATGTACGCAATTATCTTTTAAACGTCGCATCTGATTACAAGACACAAAAATTTCATTCATCAGCGCGACTAACAGTTAACGGATTAAAACAGTAACATAGGAAATACAGGAAGATACGAGAAAAAACAAAAAGGGGAAAACACACACAGATTGACTGGTACGGGAGTAGAAAAGAAAAACCTCTTTTATTTTACTTTTTACATGTAACATATCTGCTGTACTCCGGTGAGGCATGCCACAATTGTTTTAGTTTTTACTTCAGTTTTTAATTTGAAAGTTAGTTGTATAAATTTTTGCTCATTTTGTTTTAGCACATAAGATATCGCTAATGAAATATTTGCAATGTAAGTTGATTATATAAATGTAGTTTGTTAAAGATCGAGATAAGAACGCGATAAAAATCATAAAAAAAAAAAGAGGGAAACATCAAGGTTTAAGAACGTGTTACGCTCATTTTGTATTCATCGGTTTGATATTTTTCTTTGATATTTTTTTTCAATATGCTGTGAATGTAGAGATATATTTCCGCCTATATAATATAGAAGATGTGTCTCTGTATCTACCAAATGTTCTCGAGAGAGAAAGAGAGAGGAAGTAGGTTTAACGTTACACACATTTTAATCATTGACTCAAAAAATAATTCTAAAAATGTTTGATGTAGCAAAACGCGATTTATATAAGCGAGAAACAGATTATAAAGTAAAATACAACAAACAGCTTCTCTAAGCCGATCGTGAACATAAAATATTAAATCACAAGTACAAGACAACGGGAATTATAAAACTAAGTGCAATAAAATAATAGCCTACTTTTACTGCTTTATTTAGTATTTTATTTTAATTTAAAACAATAAGACAATTTAAAAAATTAAAAAAAAACAAAAAAATATTAAAATGAAGAACTAAAGTGGGTACTGGAGAGAGAGGGGTGTGCTTCAGATGTTTGATCTGTAACAGAGATACATCGTTATTGTGTAATGATGGTGAAACGGTAGTGCTTTTTTTTGCTCTAACTTGAAAAAAAGAATTTGAGGAAACAAACTCGTTATGCAAAATATTGAAGCGTTGTTATCGAGGATGCGTATCTCCTCGCGCGCGATAACACCACAACTGATATTCCGCAACGAATTTTTAACGTAAAAGCGAAACGTGTGGAACAATTAATGAAAAAAAAAAAAAAAACTACTAAATAGTTTAGTTCTCTCCGTTCTTGAGAACGGAGTATCACTTTTTTTTTATTTCGTCATCGCATTTTTGTTTTGTTATCATTTTGAGAACAAATCAAAGAGATTTGCATTTATTGTCTGTGAGTAATTAGAAACAAGAGATCCGTGATAGTACAAATAATTCTGCGCAACAGTATTTTATATGTATATTATATAGTGCTTCCAAAGTATTTGCCATATTTCGATTGATCGGATATTGCGGTATTCGAGATCGATTCGAAAAAATCTCAAATCTCTGCACTATTCGGAACATTTGAGTATTCACAATAATGTTAAATGATTTATTTCGTCGAAAATCAAGTTGCTCTTAACTCTGACAAAACGAACTAAATGTGTTTGCCGGTCATTTCTCTGAAAAAAAAATACGTAACATTTTGCGCAACAAGTTTCTGGCAATTTTAAATCACCTGTTTTTTTCTTTTTTTTTTTTTTTTTAAGTGAAAATGTGATCTTTTTCACAAAGCAAACGAGACGCGAGATGTGTTATCGATGACGTATAGCCGCGTCTATTTTGTAGCACATTTTGTGTATATTTCGCGCAA